GTGGGGAGAAGTGGGCACACTGGAGGAGAGGGACAACTAGATCTAGACAGGTTACAGGGGTGGGCGGATGAGAACAGGATGGGATTCAATACTGACAAGTGCAAGGTACTGCACCTGGGGAGGAAGAACCAGTAGCATATCTACAGGCTGGGGAACTCCCTTCTCATGAGCACAGAGGCAGAAAAGGATTTTTATGTCATTGATTTCAAAATGAACATGGGCCGCCAATGTGAGGATGCGGTCAGGAAGGCTAACCGCACCTTGTCATGCGTCCACAGATGCATCATGAGCAGGTCCAAGGAGGTGATGCTCCCCCTCTACATGACACTGGTCAGGCCACAGTTGGAGTACTGCGTCCAGTTCTGGGTGCTGCGCTTCAGGAGGGATGCAGACAGCATTGAGAGGGTCCAGAGGAGGGCCACTCACATGATCGGGGGCAGCAAGGCAGGCCCTACTAGCGGAGGCTGAAGGACCTGAACCTGTTCAGCCTCCACAAGAGAAGGATGAGAGGGGATCTGATGGCCGTCTACAAACTGGCCGAGGGGGACCAGCAGGCTATGGGAGAGTCCTTGTTTCCCCAAGCACTACTGGGAGTAACGAGGAATAACGGTCATAAGTTGACGGAGAGTAGATTCAGGCTAGATATCAGGAGGCACTACTTCATAGTCAGGGCGGCTAGGATCTGAAACTAACTTCTAAGGGAAGTAGTGCTCGCTCCTACCCTGGGGATCTTCAAAAGGAGGCTAGATAATCACCTAGCTGGGGTCATTTGACCCCAGCATTCTTTCCTGCCATGGCAGGGGGTCGGACTTGATGATCTGCTCAGGTCCCTTCCGACCCTACCTACCTACCTTCCTACCTACCTGCCACGGTATAGAAATATCCTAGTCTTGATTCAAGTGACAGGAATAAACTACATATCTTGGGAAGTTGCTCAAACTGCTTAAAATTTGTATCTAAATTCTCATCTTAATTTGTGAGGTTTCATCTTCTAGATATTGGTGCTTGGTATGCCTTTGTCTGCTAAATTAAAGGTTACTACTACCAGAAATCTTCTGATGAAGGTTAAGTAGATTGAGCTGCTTTAGTCTCTTGCTGTAAGGCATATTTCCAGAGTTTGAATCATGCTTGTAACTTTTCACTGAATGCTTTCCAAGTCCTTAGGATTCTTTTACACATGTGGACACTAGAACTGGACACAGTATTTCCTATGGATTTACTCATGATATACACCAGAGGGGGCCAACCTTTTTTGGGAGGAGCGCCACAAATTAGCTTTGCTCCCTCCCTGAGTGCCACTCCAGACTCCTTTCCCTGGCCAATCTGCTACTTTGCTTTCTGCTTCCTGCTTTATCTGTCACTGTACTGCCTGTCTCCTCTGTAGTCTGCTGCATGTCATGCTGTCTGCCGTGTGCCATGCCACTTGTGGCACATGTGCCACAGGTTAACCCCCCAGTGATGTACACAATTGCAATACCAATACCAATCTTCTATGTTTTATTTCCATTTTCATACCTCCAAGGATTGCAGTTTTGCTATCTTAGGGGTCTAGCCCACATTACATTTTTGGCAAAATTGATGGTGTAAATCCTGTTGTAAGACAGTGGTGCCACATGGACACCCAGTTTAAGGTGCCATAAAATGACAAACCAAACATAAAGATGTTCCATGTATAATGAGGGGATATTGAAGGCTCCTGGCAGAGGGGTGCGGGCTTTAAACCCCTTGATGGGGGAAGCCCTTTGGCTCCCCGCTTCAGGAGCCTTTGATCCCCTGTGCCAGGCAGCCTTGGAGGGGCTGCCAGCAGTTGCATGATGGGGATAGGCCCCCAATCTCAACCATCATGTATCTTGCTATGCACATCTGGTTTGGCAGGATGTGCAATTGTTGGGATTTGGGATCAGATCCAGTAAGTGATCATTTTAACATGTGCCAGGGGCCTTAGCACCTCATTATGTAAGACCACATTTAGTTGGTTTTCCATTGTGGTGCTTAATTTTTTGTCTGTTAGCCCCTTGGCAGGCATTAAAACAATGGTGTGACTGGGATCAGAGCATTTTTATGCCCCATACCAAACATTGTGTCTCCTGCCAGGCCAGATTTTCTGGGCTGAGGCATAAAATTCCTTTGGTTCAAATCGTGCCACTGTAGTGCTGCCACCAGCCCAATCCTGTAGATGGGCATTGGGCTGCTCTGTCCTAGACCCAAGGGTTGCCTTCAGCAGGTTCCAGACCTGAGACTATCTGGGTGTATCTACACATGCAATTAATGCAAAGCAATAAACTCTGGAGCTTATTGCTACAGAGTTTGTTGCTCCCAGGTGCATTGTTTAAATGTGCACCCAGGACATGTGCACATTGAGTAGGTTCGGAGCAGCCTTGACTAGCAGGGGGCTCATGGGGTCAGCCTGCCAGCCCAAGGCTACTCTGACCTGGCTCAACATGATGTGGAGGGGCTGACTGAGGCATGAGGGTACTTCAGACTGGGGCTAGCTGGCAGGCAGCCCCAACACTGAAGTACCCTTGTGCCCTACCCAGCCCCATCAGTGTCTACACGTGCACTGCTGCAGAGTAAAAAACTTTGCAGCAGGATAGTACCTGTCCTGCTGTGGAGTTAATTAGTTTACTCCAGCCTAATAAGGGTGGATTACTCTACTCTGCAATAAACATCACATGTAGATGCATCCTCTGAGTACTTGCACATGAGTAAGGCTGGAGGAGACCTAAAGAGATCATCTAATTTAGTCAGGGATCAAACCTGTGACCTTGGTGTTACTAGCACACACACACTAACCAACTGAGCTGGACTGGTCCCATAATCAGCTTATTTATGTGCTAATTGTGGCATAAATATAACATGTAGAGGGGGTCTCAGGGGCCTCAGAAAGTAGAAGAAAGGATAACGTTGCATTTGAAATGCCAGAGTAGCACTTGGAAGACCCAATTTCATTTCCTGGCTCTTCCAGTTCTTCCCTTCAAGTTTATAGATATCAAGTGATCCCTCTGTGCCATAATGCATCTTTTGTACAATGAAGATGCTGATGAAAAGCTTACCCATGAGTACAACTACTTTATTAATGAAATCTATCCATGTGTTAGTTGGATAACCTATCATGTAAGTTGCTCAAACTTTCATATTTTGATCTAGACATGAGTTTATATGTAGGGGTACATCGAGAATTTTTGGGCTGATACCAATGGCCAAATTTTAATGAGCCATATAGGCCGATACTGATTCGATTTCGATATGCAGCCAGGCAGCATGGAGAGTGGTGTCCAACCTGGTAAGTCTGTTGTGAAGGAATGT